GGTTCGATGCAATCCCTGTCAAAGTCACAGTGTTTCTCACAGAAATAGAAAAACCAATCCTGAAATTCCTATGGAATCTCAAGGGACTCCAAGTAACCAAAAGAATTTTGAAGAACAAAGCTGGAGGACTCACTCACTGATTTCAACACTTGCTACAAAGCTACAATAATCAAAATCATGTGACACTGGCATAAAAACAGACAAATAAACAAATGGGATAGAATGAACCCTCACATGTATGGTCAAATAATCTTTGGCGAGAGTGCCAAAACACCCTTAAGGAAAGGACAGTCTTTTCAACAGATGGTGCTGGTTAAACTGGATGTCCACCTGCAAAAGAATAAAATTGGACCTTTACCTAACACCTATACAAAAACTAACTCAACATGAATCAAAGACCTAAACATAAGACCTAAAAATACAAAACTATCAGAAGAAACATAGGGCAAAATCTTCACATTGGACTTGGTGATGATTTCTTAGCTACGACAACAAAGGCACGGGCAACAAAAAAAATAAATTGGAATTTCATGAAAATTTAAAGTGTTTGTGCATCAGAAGACAATAGAAACAGAGTAAGAAGGCAACCCACAGAATGGGGAAAAAATGTAGGCAAATCATATATCTGATAAGGGATTAACATTCAGAATATATAGAGAACTCTTGAAACTCAACAATAAAAACACCTCAATTCAGAAATGGGCAAAGAACTTGAATAGACATCTCTCCAAAGAAGATTGCCGATAAAATATGGGAAAATGCTCAACATCACTAATCATAAGGGAAATGTGAATCAAGGCTGCAATGAGGTATCACCTCATAGCCATTAGGATGGCTACCATAAAAGAAAAAACAGAAAATAATAGATTTTGGTGAGGATGTGGAGAAACTGGAACCCTTGTGCACTGTTGGTAGGACTGTAAAATGGTGCAGCTGCCGTGGGAAAGAGTATGGCAGCCCCTCAAAAAAATTGAAAGTGGAACTACCCGTATAGTCCAGCAATTCCACTTCTGGGCATAAAACCAGAAGAATGGAAAACGGTCTTAAAGATGTATTTGTATACCCATATTCATAGCAGCGTGATTCACGGGAGCAAAAACATGGAAGGAAACCAGATGTCTACGGATGAACTAACACATAAGCCAATGTGGGGCAGACACACAGTGGAACATTATCCAGTCTTGAAAAGGAAGGAAATTCTGACACCTGCTGCAGCATGGAATAGCCTTGAGGACGTCGGGCTAAATGAAATAACCCAGTCACAAAAGGACCATGTATTTAATAACACTGAACTGTACACTTAAAAATTGTGAAGATGGTATATTTTATGTCATGTGTTTTGCCACGATAAAAAAAAATTGGGATGAAAAAGCAGACTATAAATATGACCTTGAAAAATGTTAGCAGTGGCACCTGTGGAGAGCGGACAGGTTTCGTACACGATATTGGGAAAATTGCCTCACTATATGGAGAGAAGTCAAGCTGGATTCCCACCTCTCGCCTCGCATAGATGAACCCCAGACGGATTAAAGCTGCGACAGGGCGTGCACTTGAATGCAAAGACCTCAAATCCCGCAAAGCCTTCCGTAAAGATAACAGCTAAGGATCTCTGTTCAGTTGACAATACGAAGTTAACAGACTGGTGACAAATTGGAAGGACTAGGTGGAGTTCATGAGAACAAAGGATTAATGTGAAGAATAGGAGGAAGTCTTGCGAATCGATAAAATGCATTCAATAGAAAGACGGGCTGCTACAGGACAGGAGCAGGCGATGCGTGGGAGGCCCGGCTAACACAGGAAAAGGCGCTCAGCCTCGCTTAGAGAGAAGCGCAAACCGAATTGTCCGAGAGCTGTCACGTCACTTCTGCCCAACTGGTGAAAAATAGAAAGCCAGATAGGACCAGTTATGGGACGGCGAAACCCTACTCCTCATCCTCTCAGGCGAGGGTGTGAACTGGTGAGACACGACAGAAGCAAAGGCAGCCTGGCAGTATCGGGGAACCGCGTGTGTGCACAGAGCACAGGAGTGAGGACGCTGACGCTGGCGCTGAGCTGCCTGGGTTCACACCCTGGCTCTGTCGCTTACTAGCTGCGTGACCTTGAGCGGGTGACTTAACCTCCTTCCTCAGTTTCCCCTTCAGCAAAATGGGCACAATGCCAGATCCCAGGTCATGAGCGTTGCTGTGAGGCCGAGCTTCACACTCTCAAGCCCGAGAGCAGCCAGCACGTGGGAGCACTGGGCGTGCGGGAGCCGGAGCCACACGCCCGACCCCTGCCGGGGACGCCCCTGGAGTAGGCGCTGGCAGTGGGGTTGGGGACGAAGGGGAAATGTTAAACGGAACAAGAGACAGGTCTTCGAAGTCACCTACGGATTCACGGTGAACTGAGGAGTATCTTCACCTTAAACCGAGTAAAGATATAAGCCAGATACATTCCTTACAGACAAACTGGCAAGTAGAGACAAACGTGAAGAAAGGCTACCTTTAAGAGAGCTCCAGTGTGGTTGTTAAGACGTGTTTCACCACATGGGTTAGACCACTGGGGGACTCGCACAAATGCGGACTTCTGAACGCCACCCCCACCAGAGTCGGAGGACAGTGCCTGGTGCCCACTGAAGTTTGCACCTGGTTTGCCCACGGCCCGGGCTCAGCTAGACGGAGCACTTGCTGAATCTGCTTTGTGGTTACATGACTGTCAAAGCCCAGCTGTTCATTCAGTTTAGGCTCAGAAACTATTAGCATCTGTATTAAGCTGTTGCAGAAGAAAGGCAAACAAGCAAGTTGCTATTTTGATTGCCAGACACTATTACAAGGTTTTAATGGGAAATAGGACATTTTTCCATTAAGTGGGGAAGAAAAACCTGGAGATTCGTAGGCAATTAACAACACGTACCATCCATGACCCTCTGCTGCCAGCCATTAAGTCCTCTGGTAGCCGTGTTTTATGACTTTACGCCACCCAAATAATGTTTTTTTTTTTTTTTTTGAGACAGAGTCTCACTGTCTTGCCCGGGCTAGAG